GTTATGGTCCTGAACACTCCATCTCAGGAACTGGCTGTTTCTCTGCAGCCATCAAAAAGGAGAGGAGAAATATTCCTGTCAGGGAAACTGGGGGTAGGGTGAGGGGAGCAGCAGAGGGAAGAGGGGACTGCTTCAGTGAAAGTGCAAACCTTGAATTATGCAATCGGAAAAATGGCTCTTGTCAGAGCACGGCTCTGACGGGGCTCATAGCGCCAGCAGGGATGGCCAAGCAGCCCAGCCAAAAGGATGTCTCACAGAGGGAAGGAGGGATCCACAGCCATATGTCCAGCCTTCACAGTGGTCTGGAAGGAGCCTGGAGTCCTTCTACAATGTAGGTGTGGGGATGGTCTCAGGGCACCCTGGGCACTGGTGCCGTGAGCCGGTACTGGAGGGAGCAAGGAGGGCAGAGGACAGATCTAGCACGATGTTTTTATTTCTCAAATGTTCCAAGGGCTCGCTTCACTTTCATGTAGTAGTGGGAGGAGTTCTGGCAGACAGGATCAGGCTGTGCTACATATGTTTTGACTCTTCTTGTTTTATGTTTCTTCTATGAAAGAGACTGCAACCAAGTTCTTGTCATTTTTAGATCAATGTTTTGTTAAACTACAACAGCTATCCATGACAGAGAGCCAACTAACTTTTGCAGCTGACCACGAAACTGAGTCTGAGTTGTGGTGCTTAGTAATTTCTTATATTTTTTTTAACGTGACATATTCCATGTGTGTATGTGTTTTTGTTCTTTTAAATATAATTAGAGCATTTCTAGGAGTTGTGGTACAAATCAGTCTTCTCTGGCAGGTTAATTTCTTTAATTAATAAAGTTAGAAACTTCTCATCACATAGTGGCTATTGATGAAACCTCTCTGGTTACACTTTGAACAATTCTGAGATTGAAAGCTCTCTACAGTATTATCTTCTCTGGTTTACCCATTAGAATTTTAAGTGATCCAGTCAACAGAGCTCTTGCTGCCCCTGCAGAATCTCTCCTATAATCCAGTAAAAATGATGATTAAGAAGCCCTTCGTAAAGCAAGAAGATATTTATAAAATGTCTTTCAGCCTTCTGAGGTCTGATACAAAATTCAGAAATTTGGAATCACTTCATGTTTAGCAAGAGATGGCTATGTTTCTTCTCCTGGAAGGACAGGAGTGCTCCTTGCTGTTTGCTTTTGCTGCTTTGTGCTGTCTAGCAATTCTCCACACCTCTTTCCTGGGTTTGGACCAACCTTGCCTGTTGTTTCCAGCAATATTAGTTCTAGGCTGCAGTAGACACCACCTGGAATTTTTCATAGGATGGAATAGCATTTCATACCTGAAACAAAGGGATGTGCTGCTGGGCCCAATGTAATTAAACCCACCTGTTGGCACTGGGTGGGGCCTCACCTTGCTACCGTTCAAACAGCTGATCCAGCACAGCAGAGTGGTGGCAGTTTTGGGAACATGTAATTTGGTTTTATGTTGATGAGTTTGGTTTTATGATGATAATGACACATAGATCCTGGTTTGTATAAACTTCAAATAGTGTGGATTTCATGTCTGAAGTTATCACATAGATGTCCTTTTCTGTTGTGGGCTGGAGGGCTGTGGTTAGAGCTAGTTGATCTTTAAGGTCCCTTCCAACCCAAACCATTCTGTGATTCTGTGAGGGGAGGCTGCAATAGCAATATCAGCAGATTGCCAGTTAATTTGGGGTCAGAGAAGAAAACACCTTCTCCTTTGTTTCTTTGGAGGTTCCCTAAATACTTGCCCACAAACAGAAGAACTCTGTAGAAAACGTAAATAGATGCTTCTATCAAATGAAAAGCAGTAAGTCATCAACAGAATGCTTTCCAGCAAAACGCCATGGGATTGCTGCTTGGCCCCTTTCAAACATTTAGTGATTGTGAAAGTGCTTCTCTGCATCAAGATTGGAGAAAATCAGCTGCTGTGTGTTTAATGGGAAGAGCGTAGGACTGGAAATCACAGTGCTGCTGACCTATGGTCAGACTTCTGCATCCTGCCAGAGTGATCTGATCTCTTTCTGCTATCCTAATACTGTTTGGTTTGGGGTTTTGAGGGGAGCAGTTGGGTGATTTGGGGTTTTTTAATGGCTTGAGATGGAAGATATCTTAAAGATCTTCTACCTCCAAACCCCCTGCCATGAGCAGGGACACCTTTCCACTGGACCATGTTGCTCAGAGCAATCAACCATCCAACCTGGCCTTGAGCAATTCCAGGAATGAGGTATCCATAACTTCTAATTCTAGGCAGCCTGATCCAGCACCTCACCACTCTCAGAGCAAAGAATTTGTCCCTGACATCTAATCTAAATCTACTGTCTTCCAGTGGGAAGCCATTGCCCCTTGTCCTGTCACTTCAGGCCCTGGTAAATATTCACTCCATCTTTCTCATCAGCTCCCCTCAGGAGGGCCACTGCAAGGCCACAATTAGATAACCCTAAAACCTTCTCTCTTCCAGGCTGAGCAACCCCAGCTCTCACAGCCTTTCCTCATAGGAGATATGCTGGTGCTGAGGCTCAGTCAGGGGCAGGCCGTAGACTTATTATTGCCTTTGTGCTTTTTTGACTTAAAATGTTACTGAGCATTAACCCAGAAAGGTACAGCTGGCTGCTTTGATCTTCCACTTCAAGAGCAATGTCATGCAGAAGTTAGTTTTAGTTGCTATTTTACCATTGGTGGTTGAGTTACACGTTGAAGTAGCAAGGAGTAAATTGTCACCATGTTCAGAGCATGGTTCCAGTGGCATCATGTCACAGTTCTGTGAGAGCCATCTCCTCCATGATCTCCAGGCATTCCTTCAGGGCCTCCTTCCATCACAGTGGGCTCCCTCACTGCATCCACCATGGCTGCAGCTCCAAGTGACAAACTCTGCCCCAGCTGGAGTGCAGCAGGGCTCTGTGGGCTGGCTAAGCCAGGCTCTGATGAAGGAGCCATACCTGGGGTGTGCCTTGCAGGTGGCTTCCAGAGTGTTCTCTGACCTGGGAACTGTCAGATTGTGTCCCCAGAGCATGCTGGGGAGTGGGGCTGCCTCTACCTCCAAGAGCTGCATTGCCTGCCTAAAGAAGAAGCTGTTAAACCCATGCCCTGTACACTCTCAGCTCTGTTTTTCCAAGAGGTTTACACATCCTTTGAAAAAAGTCTGCAGCAGAGTAACTCCCCTCCCCTATAATATAGCCAACAAGAGAAAGTGTTCTTTTACATCGTATCTTGGTGCCAGTGTTTTAAAATGATTCCTGACATAATTTTTTTTTTAACTCTAGCATTATGAAGTTGACAGGAAATATATATTTTTTTTTCTGAGGAAAAACTGTTGAATTTCATTATATATCTGCAATCAATTTGGAAGAAAAACAAAGTCAACTTAGTCGACTTTTTGACTTCTGACAGGCTACTTTTGAAATGAGAACAGAGTTAATTTAAAAATGATGGATCAAAGGTTTGGTAAAGCTAAATGCCTGAATAGTTCAGGTGATTATTTGAAGCTTCTCCAAGCTTTCTGGATCTGCTGTGCCTAGTAGTTGTTATGGAAACCTTTTTGCTTGGGATAGGCTGTCTGCTGCATGAGCTTTTCCTGCAAAACTCAAGAGGATGACTCCTCTTGCATGCTTTCCGTGGTGAAGTGTCAGGGTGTAGACAAAGCACCAGGAGTGTGAAAGGGATTTGTGGTGAAAATGGATGTGAAGAATAGGAAGTTAACCTCATGTTCCCTAAACTATGTGAGCATAAAACTTGAGCAGGTTAGCCTTGTTTCTAACTCTTCCTGAGAAAATCTTTGTGCAGTGACTTACATGAATTTGAACCATTCTTTAAATTGCAGATGCAGGGACATCACTTGGCAGGAAATGTTTCTGTTATTTGCTTTGTTCCCTTTTCTGCTTTCCAATGTAACACATCCCAGTGACATTATTAGGCTACATGAAACAATTGCCATGTGGAAACTGAAAGTTTTTTTAGTTTATTGATCTTTTACAGCCAACAGGAGTAGAATAGAGCAAGGAAACAGAAATCTTTTCTTTTAGGAAGAAGCTCAAAAGAATTTTTTTGATTAGAGCCACTTCATTATCATGCCACGTCATGTCATTTTCTTAGCTTTGCAAAAGGTACAGTGCCTGAGATTTTGAAATGTTATTATTGCTTTCCTGAAAGACTTCTTTTTAAACATATGATTGTCAGGAAGATAGAATGCTCATGAGCAGAAGCCATTGGGAAAACAAAAACAAGTTGGAAAATGGAACACCTTTGTGTTTTTAAAGTCAAACAATTCAGGGGGAGGCGAGGTGCTTTGAAGAGGACATTGGAATGAATTGCCCCAGCATGTTGTTCTGGCAGTCTTTAGACACTGCTGCAGCCTGACAGATTAATTGGCAGCACACAGCAGCCTGTTGCAATCCAGGGTTCACAGTTCTGACCAGATGAGTGATGGACGGGGTGTTAGTAGGGTTGGACAAAACAGTCTGGAAGGGAACACAAACTGCTGCCCAAGGATCATGGCTGAATCTTTCCCAAGGCCTGAATAAGTTTGAACTGTAGGGTGCTTTTTCTGTCCCTATCGGCTACTTCCTAAAATACTGCCTTTTAAAAAAGAAACAGAGCAAACCCATCCATGTCTCTGCTTGCAGGCTAGAAATAGAGTGCTACAGTAAATGCATTGCAAAAGAGTATGTGTCACCTAAACTTTCAGACCAGCTTTGCAGTCCCAGGAACATAGAGAGTTGAAGTATTCTTCAGATGTGCAGCCAGTTTTAGCATGCCTAACTAAGCCAATCTTTTCAACACTACGGAGTTTGCTTATCACTAGATAATAAGCAAGTTTTGAAAAGGACTTTATGGTAGAGTTTGTAACCCTGTCTATTCCAGAAAAAGCACTGTTATTTATTCTTCAATATATGGCTCAGTAAACTCTTGTGTATAGTTATCTAGTTTCCCTATAAGCCTCCCAAATAACATACAAACTTTGGAGTTACATTATTTGATTATTTTCCTGATCATCTGGCCCATATAGGACAAAACAACACTGGAGACCCTGACTCAGCAGCTGGCAGTAAAACAGAGTGAAGATGGGAAGTTCAGCCACGCAATAATGGATTTCAACATGAGTGGAGATTCTGACGGTCAGTACAAATGGCTTTTCCTGATTTCCAGGTTTGTGTGTGCGTATCAATGGGATCTGAGGGAGAATCCCAGTGCTTTCGAGGCCCATGAGGAATACAAGCTGTTAGCAATAAGTGGCTATGAAACAAGACTGGTAGAATCATCTTTTAAGTCTGGAGATGATTTTTAACCTTCCCTCTGTCCACTGAAGGTCTCAAGATGGGACTAAAAATGTATTTCTGATAATAAAAGGGACTAAAGGAGGCAAATATATGTGGGGCAAGTGAGATCACACAGGGAAGCTATGAAATGTAGACCTCATCCTCTGTAAATGCTGTGTTCTCTGCATCTGTGGGGGCCTTATTGGTTTGATGAAGCGAGAACAATGTTTATTTGCTTCTTTGCTATTGCATATATTGTTAAGGAGATGTAAGCACAAAAGCTAGCAAGTATTCATTTGCTAGTTAGAGAGCTACTTAAGAAGGAATGCCCAGTATTGCCATCTATCACACCCTTTCTGTCATAGAAAAGGTAGAAAATGGGTGACATAATATCACCAGCATTCTATAAGCAAGAAAGAATGAAAATTAAAAATAAGCTTGCATTGATAAGTATGTATTTGGTTTATGTAATTAAGCAGTAAAAGATGGTTTGGAAAAGCTGTGTAATACTTTGTATTTAAGAACAATCAAAACTCCTTATCAGGTGTATACTATGTGATGCTGAATTAATAGAGTAATTAAACCAGGCAATATACAATAGATTAACCATTAACCTATTGTGATTATGACTCATTGAATGTGCAGCAGCTGACCTAGGTTACCACTGGCTGGCAGAGGAAGCTGCATTCCGAGCCACAAGCTGGAGATGTTTCCCTGTTGCTTTGCAGGAAGTGCGGGAGTTTCGGAGTCTCGGATTTACCGGGAGTCGCGAGGGCGTGGCAGCAATGAGCCGCACATCAAGCGCCCCATGAACGCCTTCATGGTGTGGGCTAAGGACGAGCGCAGGAAGATCCTTCAGGCCTTCCCTGACATGCACAACTCCAACATCAGCAAGATACTAGGTAAGAGTGGCAGAGCACCGCTCTTCCTGAGCGGAGCTGGAGAGGATTATGACTGAGTTTAGCTGAGCACCTGACAGAACAGCATTTCTTCTTTCTCTCTTGTGCTTGAGTCACTGCACCAAGAACAGCAGTGATAGGGGTCTTCCCAGCAGTATGTATTAACCACAACCTGAAATATTCTTTGTAATTATTGAGATTGTGGTGGCGACTTTACTGTGCACAGAGGAGAGGTGGAGTAGCCTGTAGTTCCCAGGTTTTCCTTGTGAGATATGGGGTTTACGGTTCTCCTTTTCCAGAGAGCCACAATTTCACCAGACTGCCACTTCTCCAATAGGATGGACAGTGGCTTAGCCAGTTCTTCTGTCAGTTCCCTCAGGTCCTGCAGATGCAACTCAGCAGGCCGCACGTGTTCTTCAGGTTCTCAAACCCGATCTTCTCCTACAGTGGATGGTTCTTCATTCTCCAGTATATTGAAAATAATTTTTTTAAAACCCTGACTTCCATATTGTCTGCTCTTCACGTCCCGATCAATATTTGTCATGAGCATCAACTTCTGAATCTCATGCCAGAGTCTTCCAACTTATTACTGTTTAATCAGATTCTCAGGACCATGTTCTATCCAAAGTTACTCCTCTGTGTTGTGCTGGATGACACAGTAGGTGAGCCTCACTGAGACCAGTGAATTACTTTTCAGCAGAAAAATAATACATCTGTGACCAAATTAGAGATACTGTATTTTTACCAATAAAAAGAGCTACAGGACCTAAGCATCCCTCAGGCCAGCGGCTAAGCAGGGAACGTGTTTACCTGTGCTGCAGATCTCACTGGTTTTGCAGGCTGCTCAAGAGATGCAGTGCAGTTTTAATGGCACATTAACCAGCTGCAGGGCTGGTAAATATGCCAGGTTTAGACTGGTCAGAGGTTTGAGGCTTACCTTGATTAGAGTGGTATTATGAAAAGTTAGCGGGAGGCAAGTGGAAACAAGATAAATTGGTTGGAGAAGCAAAATGTATTGCCATGGATGTCAGATGTGATGATACGAAGCCATGATTTAAAGGGTGGTATGAGATGATTAGATTAGTTATGGGAACAGGATTAGAAGGCTAAATTGGTTATGTTGATGGCAATATAACCTTCATTATACTGGTTAAAAGTGATTATACTGGTCAGAGGTGTATGATGTGATTAGCCGGAGGACAGGGCAGTAATGGTTTTGGTCTGTTTCTAAATTGGGACTAGACCTGGTTAAACTTGTTTTTAAGTAATCAGTTTCAGAAATCTACAAGATCATTCTGAATGGCCCTTTTCATATAGAAAGTACAAAGAGAGCTTGATGTTTTCCCTCTTAACTGATTGTTTTGGATAACAACCTCCAACAGCACGCTGCTAATTCATTCTGCTTAAAACAGGCATTTGAGCTGAGCTGACATTTTACACAGTCTCTGGGGATCCTGGTTGACATTTTAAAGGGCTTCTAAGCATTTTATAATACCCTAAAATCTGCTTTTAATAAGCCATTCTGCTGAAATTGTTAACATAAGGAATCACCTTTTACTATTTGGCGCTAGATCAGGGAGATATGGAGACATCTTTTTCTGATTAGATATACAGTAGTTGGAGTAAAATGTGCAAATTCATTACAGATCCTGTTGAGGTGACAGACAGTATAGCTGACTCCAAACTCTGTTTTGCTGCCAGATACAGGGAAAAGCAAGGTCTGAGACAGTGAAAGATGATGTTTCTATTTCTTTACAGCATCACATTTGATTTTTTTTTTTTTTTATTATACGTGTGCAATAGAGAGGGATGTCCTGGCATCTTCCTTCTTGACAGAAACATTACAAAGTTCTTCCCCCAGCTGCAAAAGGCCAGTCTTTTGAAGTCAGCAGGGAGCTGTCTGTTAAGTGGCATTGGGTGACCAATTAGAAGCTCACAGTTCAGCCAGGTATTAGGGTGTCCTTATTAGAAAGCCACAATTTTTCCTTCCCATTTTTCCAGCAGCTCTGCGACACGTTGAGGTCACAGAGCTTGTTGTCATGCAGAGTAACTTAGATAGAGTTTTTACCAGCTGAGGGTCACTTTTTATAGTAAAATGAGAAGGAGGTGCCCTTCCCAGCACTAGAATTCTCTAGGGATTATGTTTGACACTGTGGTATTATGTTTGGAGCATAAAAATTAGATACACGGATTTGTCACTAAATTCATCCGTGCATACGTTTGTCATCCATCTGTTCATTGCAACTTAAACTTGTGGATAATGGATTTTTTAGTAAATTGTTAAAAAAGTGCTAAAGTGGGGCTGCTGGACCATGTCAATTTAATAATGCATTGTTTAGATATTTTGGTAAATATTTTAATTAATTTTACTGAGAAATCTACGTAAAGATTTTGGGAAAAAATGAAGTTAATTACTAGCTTCAGAAATATACATTCTTACACATTCTCTTGGAATGTATATGTGTGTTTATACAAATGTGTACACTTACCTATACATTACACAAGTGTTTGTGTGAGAATGTTTTTTAAACATAAAATCAGCCTGATTCAGGTACTCAGATTGAAAAATATCAGTCTAATGGACTGAAAGTTAGAGAATATTGCAAGCAGCTGAAAATTCTTGTTACAGAAACTTGGCTTAAAATCAGCAGTGAGCAGAGCTCTGAACATTGCACATGTGTGTCTGGGCATGGGTGAAGGCATCTCTCTCATGTCCTGGACTCAAGGATATGCCCTTTCTGGATGTGCTCCCAATCACACACAGCTTTGTGGGCACAGCTCTGACTGCCCTAGCTCAGTTGAGGGGAAGGAGCTGTGCTTGGTGCTGCAAAGTCTTTGAATTTGGTTTTTTTTTCCTAAAGGCTTCGGCCATCACATCAGGGAGAATTGTGCTAGAATCCTGCTTTTCATTTTTGCATGCACCCAGGGAGGGGAATGGACTCTTATTTTCATAGGCAAGGAGAAAAGCCTTGCATGCTTGACCCACTCAAAGCTTTCCAACATAGATGGTGAGCAGGGAGCTCACTCAAGACTGCAAATCTTCCCATAAAAAGAAAGGTTTCTCAAGTTAATGCAATCACATCTTGTTTGGGCTTGGGTTTGGCACTGTGCATAGGTGCTCATGCCTGCCTGTGTGTGTTTGTAGACACATAAAACAATGACAAATAAAGCTATTACAAGCATATTTAGTCCAAATATAACGTATTTTTAAAAAGCTTTAATATGTTGATTGATGGTACTCATTCATAGCTTACCCTGTGGGTGGAAATTCCAAGATCAGAGTTACATACCCTTCAAAATTTTAGATGAAGACCATTCAGATAATTGACTGTATTATGTAAATTACTAAGAAAATAAGTGAAAATTATCAAATATAAAAAAACAATGGTTTATCATTAGAAAGTGTGCCATTTAAAAAAAATTATTGTGACAATATTGTTTGTTTAATTATGTATCATACTTCAAAACATACTAGTAAATTATTTTTAGCATATTTTGTAAAAACAGTAAAGTTGTAGTAAGAGGAGGTATCACTGCAGGAGGCAGCTATTAAAAATTTGCTAGGAAGAGAGATGAAACTACCAGGATTTTTGTTGTATTTGAGTGTGCAGCTCAGGGAGAAAAAATATAATGAGTACCAGTATGTGTAACTGGATACGCAGATACTATGCATCAGAATTTCACGTTTTATGGCCCTGATCCTGCAAAGGCTTGTGCTGATTGCCTGACATCACTCACTACTTTTTGTCACATGACAGGGTAGGAATCTGCCTGCCCAGGTCTGGCGATAGGTTTGCAGCAAGTGAAATGGCACAGCAGAAGAGAAACTGTGCTGGAATAGAGTATTTTCATGGTAATTTTGCAAGAGCTAACCTTAATTTCTACCTTTCTGTGCATCTATCTGTCTGTCTCAAAATATGTGAGTACCTGCACTGCAGATCCCTTCACAGAATGTAGAGAAAATGTCAAGATTTGTTTAAAGACTGAGCTTCTCAACGTTTCTCTTCATAAAAAACACCTGATGCAGCATCAGGAGGGGGAGCTGGGGCTGTTTCCCTAGGCCATTGGGGCTTCAGCAGGTCTATCATTAGACAGCTCTGGATTTAGGTTAACTCTTAGGATTTTCTTTGCTGAAACATCAGTGTGTTGGTGCCTACATGCAGAATTTGAAAGCACACCCACATTTGGGCATCTTCCAGGGCTCATCTGCTTTACCATGAATTTTTAACATTGTTCAACACAGGCCCAGCCTGTATTTCCTTCTTAGGCAGCATCAGTTGTTGTGCAGTGTTGTGAGAGTCACTTGTATCCTTCATCCCCAAGTCCAGGAGGAAAGTCAGTGCCATTTTTCCAGCCTCTCTCTTTTCCATGAAAAGCTTGGAATAATTTTTCTGCAGGAGACCCAAGCTGCTGAGCAGGATTCTGGTCCCAGGGTGCTGCCCTGTGTAACACAGAGCCCTGCCACCAGTCCCCAGGCACAGACACTACCTCTGTGTGGCATAAGAAGGGACAGGAGTGCAGGAGTTTCAGTCCCAGCCCTAAAAGCCATCTAGCAATGCAATTATGGTGCTGGGCCTAAGCTAATAACAATGTCATTAAACTCCTTCCCATTCCAGGACTAGCTGGGGGATCTCTGCATGCTATGTGCTGTAAACGGGATGAAAAATGATGGTTTTGACTTCAAAGCAGTGTTTGCTGAGAAAGGCATGCACATTGCCCCTTTTCAGGACAAAGACATCACTGTTTATACATTGCTTATCTCTGGGTGTGAGGTCAGGTTGTACCAGATCTTCTCTTCAGAAGCCCAGACTGCAGTATGGAATAAAGATTCAAAGAGTAGTGGGGAAAATGGTGTCAATAATCCCAAGGGGCCTTTCTAGAGGGAATTGAACTGTTTTCTTTCCTGGGGAAAGGATAATTGTGCTCCCTCAATTGCAAATCTTGGGGGTACAGTGGGATAAGACCAGCCTGAGCAGTAGCATGAGCTGACCATAAAAAATGAGGAACAAGAGGAAGTCAAGTATGACATATGGCATTATGAACCCATTAAATTGAGAAACTATTCAAACATTTTTCCAGTGGGAAACTTGACTATTTTCCAATAAAGTTTTCTTTCTAGGCCACAGGTTTCACAGCTTGAACTATTCCTGTTATTTGAAATGTATCCTACCCTGAAGCACTTCTATATTTAATGGAAAAATAAAATGGGGCAACTGATTCAGGAACTTTTACTTTCTGCTCCTGTATTATATCGTTTAAGAAGTATTTGTTTATGACTTTCAGCAGGCATTTGAAAGCAATTTTGAAGTCTTTACTATATCCCTATCTCAAATACCCACGTTAGCATAGTCAGAAAACAGGACTGCCAGCAATGAAGCCATAGTGCAGCTCCAGAGAGAGATGTGCCAGTAGCCCAGTGCTTTTCCTTTCATGACACAGTAAATTCTTTAAGCTAGGGCTGGCAGTGTTTGCCAGGACTTGGTCTCGGAGTTAAAACTCCACTGACACATGGTTTATAGCTTTTAGAGGCATTGCTTTGGAGGCTTTGCAGGCTCCTGTACCTGACTGGAGAGCATTTACAGTCAGTTCCTCTTCTGACTACCAACCTGGGAACCAGAAAGACCCAGTGTTTGTCAGGAATGATGAGGCTTGGGCTTGTGTGTATCCAAATGTGATGACCTGATCCAGCTGTGGATCACAGCAGCACATGGAGCCTTCCATGAGCAGGAGGTGTGAACAGGCACGTGGCCAAGGGAAAGTGTGGGGACACAGCAGAGCACACTCTGTGTGTCCATTTCTCCAAAATACACTGCCTTGTTTCCTGGAACTGAGTGTCAGGGGTTGTCCGTTGTCAGGATCATAGCTTTATTGACCACCTGAAAGGCATTGTAAGGGAGATAAATTTCAGTAAAATATTGAGTCAAAATTTCCAGGGCCGCCTCTCTCTGCATTTTGGCTGTACCCAGGAGGTTTATGAGTCAAATACAAACAAGACCAGAACCCTGTCTAGAAGCTCTGACAGATTCCCAGCCCAAAGCCAAATGGCCTTAGGGTGGCCTGGGTGACCTACTTGTTCCTCTGCCTTGTGGCGTTTGGGGATGAGTAGCATCTCATCACTTTTCTTCCTCTTTTTTTTTTTATTTTTGGTGACAGGATCTCGCTGGAAAGCTATGACAAACCTAGAGAAGCAGCCATACTATGAGGAGCAGGCCCGGCTCAGCAAGCAGCACCTGGAGAAATACCCAGACTACAAGTACAAGCCCAGGCCAAAGCGTACCTGCCTCGTGGATGGCAAGAAATTACGCATTGGCGAGTACAAGGCCATCATGCGCAACCGACGCCAGGAGATGAGGCAGTACTTCAATGTTGGGTATGGCACCTCCCACAAGCACTGCTCGTTCTGTCCAAAAACAAACAAAAAACAGGGAGAAACCTTAATTCTTAATGGTAGTTTATTAGCAAGGGTGTTGGATGTTGCTAACAGAAATGAGAGTTGTACTTCATAGCAAAGTGGTCCAGGAGGAGGTTAGGCAATGTTAGGAAGCTTTCTGTTGTCTCTGGTTTACACTCATCTTAATGCCTCCGCCAGCTGTCTCATTTCTGCTCTGATCATGAAAAAAAAAGGGTTTAAGATTTTCTAATGAAACTTATTTCTAATGAAATAAGTCTTCTAGTAAAATCTTACAAATATTGTGAGGCCTCAGAGAGAGTATCTAAAGGAATCTGTGGTAGTGCCTCTGGATCCAAAAGCCAAAAAAGGAGTTTGTATTCAGTAGGATCTGTGGCAAGTGGTCTGCAAAAGGACTGCTGAACACACTGAACCTGAGCTGGAATATGGATGTGACTCAGTTGATTGATGCCAAGCTGTATTCATATCATGTCTGCATTGTTCATTTGTGCTTCCAGGGAGTGTCTTGCAGTCCAGCAAGTTAAATGCTTTCTGTTGAGCAGAAATTTTAAGAACAGTTCTGACAAACAGCAAATAGATCAGTTTGATATGATTAGAATAAAATGTGCCTAGAATACTAGCATATATTTTTCTTCTGCAGAGATTCCTTGGTGTTGGTTACAGCAGATCAAATATTCCACAATATTCTGTATTCACTTGAGAAAATTAAAAGCTACACAGGGATCCTAAGAAAAAAAAGCAAAACCAGCAACAAGAGCGACCCTCTGAAATAAAGGAACTTGTGTTCTGTTTCATCTTGGTTTAGAACCCTTTTGGTATTAACTGGGTTGCACATCTCTTTAGTTAATGGCTAGAAGTAGCAATAAAGGAGAGAACATCTATCCAGTGACTGTTAAGTGTCACCAGACTGTTTTAAACAGCTACAGTGTGCATTGTTAGAATAAGCTGCTCAGCAGAGAAATTTGAGCTGCTTAACCCTGTGGTGCTGGCAGGTCCAGTGATCCCAGTGGTAAGCACTGAAACAAACACAGGGAACTCAGCCAACATTCAGCATCAAGAGATTAAAAAAAGGAGGGGGCCTTATGGAAAAAGAATAGGTGGCAACAGAGCCCCCAGAACTCTGCTTATCTGGTTAACATGCATGCCTCATCATGGGGAAAAAAATTAACCTTGTAACATTCTGCCTGCAGAAATTCAGCTTTCCAAACAAGGCTGACATTGAAATCAAGACATTTCTGGATGTAATCTGCACTGGGGCAGAACCCAGGGCAAAATCTTTCTGGAAGCAGCTGACAGAGTGGCCAGTGGCTGCAGTGGGGCCGGGGTGTGATGTCACCAGTCACAGCACTGCAGTTGCATTCCTGCTTTAGGTTCCCCATCTGTTGCATCCATCAATGCAGGTCATTTAGGGCTAAACTCCTAAACACCAGCCCAGCTCCTGCTGGGCACAACAGTAAGTACTTGGTTTAACAGTGGCTGTGCTGGAGGAATCGCAGTGGGAAAGATTGGGAATTTTTTAATGTTCCCTATTTCAGTGTCCTCATCTTTAGTGGTAGCGTGTCAAGCATGGCCTGCTGAGAGCCCTAATACAGTAGTATCAGAGGACTGCTGCAAGATCCTCTAAGCTGGACATCCCATAGAGGTGGAAAAATACTATTCTTAAATTATTTAATATTTGAAAAGCACTCTGAAAAGCACCATTTAAGTGCAAAGTGTTCCTATTGTTAAATATTAAAACAAATTTAAGTGTGCTGAATCTTGTTGCAGAGATGCTGACTCCAGAAAACAAAAGCCTTCCTAATGAATTAAGAATAAAATGCAAATTAGATCTGCTCCCTACTTCAAGAGCTGTATCTTTAGCTGAGACAACTTGGGTCGTTTCCGAAAAGTGGAAATAGGGGCTCTGTGGAGGGAGGCTTTGCTTGGATGGCAGGCAGGAAGTATCTGAAAATGCAGCAAGCAATTCCAAACAAGTATAAAGCTGCTTGGCAGAGGAAAGTCTTTCAGGATCACTGTACTCTGTGAGGCTTACTGTGCAGCCAGGGCAGGCAGGCAGGGGAACAGGGAAGGATTTCATTGTTAATTAAGAATGTTCATCTCAGGAGAATCTACCCTGTCTCCTGTGGCAAGGCTTTTCAGTGCAGATGGACACACCGCTGATGACATTACAATGTGCAGCATGTGCTGAACAGAATTACTGCAATGGAATTACTTCATGCAGGAAGGCAACAAAAGGAGCATGAATTTTAAACCTCTAGGCTTGTTGGGACTCTGAAGCTTCTCAGAGAAACAAACACTGGTATAACAGTTAGTGCTCTTGATGCAAAGGGAATTTCTGTACCCTACAATAATTCTTTTAATGCAGAAAGGTTTCCAAGGCTTAGATGTATGAAGGCATCCTGTAGAAGATTTTCTCAAATGCTCATGTTGTTTTCTTGCTTTTTATTTATTTTTCAATAATGCCCACTACCATTTTAAGTCTGCCTTTTCCCAATTTTATCCACCTGTGGGATAAAAGAGACAAAAAAAAATTCTCTTTGGGAAAAGAGGATCTGCTTTTCACAAGGGCTGCTCCCAGTGGAAACTCTCACTTTCCAGTGGGAGGCCTTTAGAGGCCTTTAGGCCACTGTTCCTCTCTCTAGTAATGATCAAGTCCCCAAATGAATGTGGAGTAAGCATTGTCTCTGCTTTCTCCTCATTCAGTGACATTTTCCTGCAGCACCTTCCCATTCCTGTGCAGTCTACCTAGACTTTGCTGCCTCTCTCCTACTGGCAATTTATGTCTTGTTACTGTGACTCTTATGTCCAGTGCTGATAACAGGTTGGATTTTTCAAAAGGAAGCTTTTCAAAATTTTAAGTTGGACCACAGTTGGCAAGCATGTTTATTTTTGGGTGGTACCAAGCTGAATGGAGAAGTTTCCCTCACAAGCAGGCAAGCTGAAGCTGTGTAGCTCAGGTAACAGCTAGAGATGCTTCCAGAGGTGGGGTTTTCCTATCAGTGGAATTGATTTGGGTTTGTTTGTGAAGCATCGCTCAGTGAGTTTTGAATGCTGATGCAAGAGTTCCTCTGCATGCTCGAGAATATGCGCTGTTGAGCTCACCCTCCTGGTCTTCCATGCAGCATTCCAACATCCTTCACTCTCTTCCTCCTGGCAGGCAACAGGCCCAGTTGCCCATGGCCACGGCGGGCGTCGTGTACCCGGGAGCCATCGCCATGGCGGGAATGCCCTCCCCACACCTGCCCTCGGAGCACTCGAGCGTGTCCAGCAGCCCCGAGCCCAGCATACCCGTCATCCAGAGCACTTACGGGGTCAAGGGCGAGGAGCCGCACATCAAGGAGGAGATGCAGCCCGACGACGCCAACGGGGAGATCTACGATGAGTACGATGAGGAGGAGGACGACCCCGATGCAGACTATGGCAGTGACAGTGAAAACCACATTGCAGGGCAGGCCAACTGATTGGGGTCCCCACAGCTCGCCACCTGCAGGACTCCAAGGAGGAAAGAAAAAAACAAATAAATAAAGCCCCATCTGGTTTATCCTTGCCAGTGGCCAAGCACATTAACTTTCTCATACACTGACTGTTACTTTAACTGTTAGTCTTAACTAGTTGGGACATCAGCTGACTAATAGACATCAGCCTGCATCAGAAGAAAAAAGGCTCAAAAGAAAGGAAACAAAGACAATGACAACAACAACAGAATGATATAAGCTATGGGTAAAATAATGCCAGTAATTCAGCTGCTATACCCAAGCACTGAAGTCTTACTCGTTGACCTTTTTTTTTTTTTTTTTCAAATAAACTTTATGGCTGTTTGTTCTACAATGTTCTAGAAATTCTCACTCAGGTACACAGTGCCAACAAGTGGCTTGTGAATGTGTTTTGTTGTTTTGTGCTACAGTTTAAAGAGAAATAATTTTTTTTTTTTGGTAATGCACCTGACAGGAAAAAAAAAAGATAAAATTCCTTTTAACCCCCTCTGTCTCCTCCTCCTCCTCTTCCTCTTCCTCCTCCTTCTCCTCCTCCTCCCTGTCAAATCTGGGTTAGAAGTGTGTGTGTGTGCGTGCCTGTGTGCGTGGCTGGCAAGGAAGGAAGTGGGGAGTCTTTCTGTTAACCCCAACAAGCATTTCCTTTCAAGAGAGGACTTCTCTTTATCAGTTGCACACCATACTGAGTCTTTGAACAAGTGCCAAATTTGTACTAAAGCGCTGAACTAGTCGAATTTGCTTCTTTAGGTTGGTCCCTTCTTGTTTTGTTTTTCTTTGGCTTTTCATTTTCTTCTTGCTCTGTCTTAAGTTAGGACAGTGTTATATTTTAGACAATCCCTTGGAGAACCTGATATACCAGCAGCTGGTGAGATTAGTCATATATTTTTGCTTTTGCTTTTTAAAGGAAACTGTAGGTGCTGTTCTCAGGTGAAAAAAAAAAAAAAAAGAGAGAGAGAAAGACATAAGAAATTTAGAGAAAAAATATTTTATGGTCTTGGATTTTCATGTGTGCGTGTTTATGGTACTAATAAGAATAATCCTGGATTATCATGAGCAAAAACCATGTTCCAGAATTAAGTCCTGCACCCTCCAAGTGACTTGGTCTTTAAGAAACCTTTATTTTTAGTTTGCACTTCAGGTGGCACCATAAACAACATAAAAGGCTTGTCCAAAATGTGGTTTGTTCTGCACGGGACACAGTAACTCATTTACCACGCACTGAGCATAATTAAGTTACCACCAACTGAGACCAGTTCTGATGAACTCATACCTTCAGGGTGGTTGAGAACTGATTTCTGATTCAAAAGGCTTTTTTTTTTTTTCGCTGACTTTTCTCCTGTGCACTGGCAGAAATTCTTCTTTTATCAGTGGGATGTTTGCATGGGAAGGAAGGCTGGTAGCTCTGAGGGCATTTCCATATTCCGAGTGGGGTTACAAGAACTCAGGCCACTGCAGTGCTGAGTTTCCCTCACTGCTGTCTCTCACAACTGGAAAAACAGTCTCCTGTGCTAAACTATTTCCAGTCTTGTTTCAGACCACTCACATTGCTTGGGCAGTTTTGTCTTCCTTGGGCAGCCACAGCCAGATGAGGAAGGTGTCTGGGAGCTGCTCTGCGCCCGGGAAGGGAAGGTCTTGGCATCGTGCTGTGGCAAAAACCTTCGTCCAAATTGTTTTTTTAACTGGGGATGCCAACTTCATGTTGCTTCCTTGTGAATCCCTACTCCCAGAGGGAGCTGCATTGCTGTTGTTACCACCTCTAACTTGTACAGTTAGCCCCACACATCTTAGTGGCAGTGAGATCCCAGCCCAAGCACTCACCAGAGCCCTGCTCGCCACTGTTTGGCAGCCCTGATTTTGCAAACAGTCCCTCAATGATGGGACTTGATGCCAGGTGCAGGACGATGAACAGGACAGATAGGAAGGGGGCAATGCCTTTTGCCTCTTGAAATTCCACTTGAAGTGTAACTTGACCTCTGCAGGCCTCGTGCAAAGCAAAAAGCAAATGCCATTGAACACTTAGGACAATACTCCGATGTTTGGGCATGTGACAGTTTTACCCTGCTACATTCCTTTTCTTTGTTCTCTGTTTTCCAATTTCCACCTCTGCTTTGAAAAATTCTTTTCTATTTTCTCTCTCTCAGAAGATTTGCTCTGAAATTATGCTTGGAGTAGCTGATTGTATCCTCCGTGTCAGAGAGGGTTCTTTTTTGTTTGTAGTTTATGACTGTGTTGGGGTTTTGTTTTTTTTTTTCAGTTGAACTGCCTCTTCTTGCTAGTGTTGAATGGTAATAATAATAATAATAATGGTCAGCTGTTCCCAGATTAGTAAATTATGTATAATTTATTTACACCCTCCCCCCTTTTTAAACTTTATTTTATTCTGTTCTAATTTGGCAGTGCAGCAAATGAAGCTGTTAGGCTATTTAAAATGGATACCCTTCCCCACCTTACCTTTTTATATATATATAAATATATATATATATACATATGAAAACAAATCGCTTCTTCTTCTGCTCACACCATTTCTCTTTCTTTTATTTTAATTTTGGCCCCAGCCATGTCAACTTCTGATGTTTATTATGATGGAGTGAATTAATGGGAGTGTTGTTTTCAATCTTAATTAACTTCTGCTCTCTCATCACTCATTTTAGTTATTTAATTACACCAGTCATCTAGAGCCAATTTTTTTGAAGCACTCTGTTTGGATAAGAAGAAAAAAAAATAGACAATTGTTTTTATATCATTATTATGTGAAAACAGATATTTGCTCCTTTTTATTTTTGTTTGTTTTTTTTTTTAACTTCTAAATTTGTTCCCTGTCTTTGTGACCAAATTACTTCTGACTGTTGTGGGTTCACCTCACATTTGCTGGATGCTTGATTTCCACCACAGTTGAGAGACTCTCTGGTTTAATTGTGTCACTTCGGGCGACCAGGAATACTTTGTTTTAGCTCCAGGTACGTGTCACGCTGCCTGATGGGGTTGGAGCAAGCCTTGGGGTGGCAGGGGTCAGTGGGAAGGGGGCCCTTGGGACCAAATGCAAGCCCTGAATTCCCAGGAGAGGCTGCTGGTGGCAGCCTGGTGTCCGGGGGCATCAGGGATGGGGCAGTGCCTGGTGTCCCCAGCCTGGTGCCCCCAGCCTGGTATCTGTGGGCACTGGGGATGGGGCAGTGCCTGGTGTCCCTAGCCTGGTGTCCGTGGGCCCCAGGGGTGGGGCAGTGCCCTCCCCAGAACCCCCAGCTGTCCTCACTGCCCCAGCCAGGGCTGACTTTGTCCCATGCACATTCCCTGTGACAGGCTGTGCCCCAGCCTGCCTTTCCTTGGGGTTGCTGTAGCACACTGGCCCCCTCTTTCACATTTGGGATGTTGAAGCCCATGCAGAAATGTTAAAAAGGAAACAAAAAAGAGGCCAAAAGATGAAAACATAGATTTTTAAAAAATGGCTCTGGGGTTCCACACCAGCAAAATGCTTAATGCCCATGTTAATGTTTTCTTAGGTCCAAGGATGAGCACCCATATAACCTTCAGCAGTAGAAGACCAGATTTGAAAATATGGTACTGTTTGTCCCTCTTGAATTTTCTGGGGGAAAAAAAAAAATCTAAAAAGCAAAATATACATTTATAAAAATTATCTTCTTGTTTCTTTTTTTTTTTTTTTTCCTGCACTCTGTGCCCTGGAGCATGTAGAAAAAACAGGTTGGAAGAGATAAGGGTTTATTCACCTTGAAGGTCATTGAGGCCCTAATGCCAAGGTGGCCCTGTTCCCCTCTTTTCTGGGAAGCTGGTGAGCCAGGATGGTCCTGGGGAGCTGCCTTGGGGGGGTTGTACAGGCCATCTCCTCCTGAAGCCACCATGCATCTTTGGAGTTTGAGAAGGAACATCTCCAACAGTGGGGAAAATGGGAAAATAAAAGGAAAAAAACCTGAGGCACTTGCTTCTAAGCTCAATTAAATAACACAGAGTATATCCTTTTTTCCATTTATTCATGCCTTATATTAGTAAAATAGGATTTTTAAGTGCATTTAACATCTTTATCTAACCATTCTGCTATATTAATCAGGCCCCCAGAAAAGAACACTAGCTATTACCATAGCATTTAATTAGTTTTGTAACCAAATCCTCTTATTATAAATGCATATGGAAGAAATTCTTTCTTCGAAGACATTTTTTCAAAGATTTGGTTACTACAGTAGACTGTCTTTAATTAAATCATTCTTTAGAAAGTAAATTGTCTTTAACCTTTTTACAGCACATTTTCAGGGCTTTTTCTTTTTAATCCAAAGAGATGAGCTGTTATTGTCCCCGAAGAAGCCTCTGACATCACATTTGTAACATCAAAAATAATTATACTCCATAGAAATGTAGGTCTTCCTGAGCAAGAATTCATCTGCTGTAAAGAAAGGCAGCTGTGTGGTATCTTGGACGTTTCAGGGCACAAGGTATGGGATAGGAAGTTTCTTTGTCTGACCACTTCTGGATAGAACCATCCCTTCCATTTCGCAAATAACTGTGTAATTCACTAGGTGTGGATTCAAGTGTATCCTCAATTCACAGGGCATGGGATGTCTGTTTAGCTTGGTTTATATTTACATTTTTCCACTTTATCTTAACTTGTCAGTTTCCCAGACTGAAGAACATGTCAAGTTTGTTTTTTCTACTGACTGATTTCTCTACTCCCCAGTGTTTTTTGTCACTGGTTTGCTGAAACAGTATTTATATAGCTCCATTGGCTCTAAAGCTCTTACTACTTCTAACATTTTGGATTTTACAAGTGAAATGAAAATAGAAAAGAAATAGAGACAATCAAATGCCTGGAGCTTAAAACAAAGTATGTGCAACCTACCATCTCACTTGAAATTTAATAAAAGAAATAATTATGTAAATATAACATAGAGTTATAGATTTATATTTTGTTCATAACACATAGTGTAATATAAGTTGTATATTTTCATGTTTTGGTTTTATGTTACCATTCATGCCACAATAAATGAAAAAAAACAGGAGTTGATGTACTCTTTAAAAAATACTATGTGGATTGCCACCATCCTGGGTTTTTGGGTTTTTTGTTTCTTTTGCATTCCCCTTTTTCAGTATTACTGCCCTGCAAGGCACCAATAAAACAACAAATGTGTTCTTTACCTATCCTGTGGTCTGTTTCCCACTTCTTACAGCAAAGGCCGTGCTAGCAAACTTTCCTGTCAGGAGAACAAAACCTGGTCTCAAGCAGCAGAGAGTGAGACTTAGATTCCGCTTACCAGTCTGCTCCAAGAGTCAAGATTTTCATCAAACCACAGGAGAAAAAGATCACCCCACCTTTCCAGTGCTAGCATTAGCACAGAAGGAGCAGTCCCTCAGCATTGTGGCCAGTGCAGTTTGCAGGATGATGAGCAGGTGGCCGGATGCAGAGGTTTGGCCTATGCCCACCTTGCCAGGCTGAGTTCTCCTGCCACAGCCATGTGTGCCCAGGGAAACACCCAATTATAAACGCCAGTGACGCCAAGCTATGGAAAAAATAGCTCTACTCATAGTTAGTCACAATGTCCCAACATGCTGCCTAAACAGTTCATGAAGTTTTGAGAGCAGCATATGGCACGAAGTGGGAAGAAATGAATTTGTACCTGTTTTTGACAGTAAGTTGTTCTGATGAGTGCTTACTCTCAAGTGAAAACGGCTTGACAGATGCCGCTCTGTGTTTCCAGATTTCCTAAAGGGAAAAGGCAGTATTTGGGGAAGCAGGAGGTAGCTGGTGGAGATCCTTCAAACCTGTCCCCACTTCGTTGGTTTGCCAGGTTGTCCTCTGTGCTCTTCCCGTGAGTGAGGTGGCACCTGAAACTTCCCAGCAACAAACCAGAGATCTGTTCTGGTAGCTCCCTGATACAGCCAAGAGCACCTCCAGAGCACCTGTCCAGTGGAAGTGGAAATGGGCTTGAGAAAAACAATGTGATGGTGGCTCAGGCCAATAAAGGTCAGAATGGTTTCACTCCTCAATATCTGTTTTTCTGGTACTGTCAGCAATATGTGATGTAGGGAGCCCCTCTCTGGTGCTGACATGGCCCACACTGCCCACGGATCAGCAGGTGATGTCTTCTCACCGCCCAACGCAAAGATGGAGTGACTTAGAACTTTTTTTTTCCTTTTCTTTTTTTTTTTTTTTTTTTTTTTTCCCTTTTTGGTGGGGCTGGTGCCTGACAGAAGCAACAAAGTTCCCTAAACCTTGTGGTGGAAAAATGTCAAGGAGAACCTTAGACAATCTAAGCTAAAGATACATCTAAACTGTAATATGTGTAGATAAGGATGGGCTTTGCAAAACCAGGAATGACAGCTAGTTAAGCCCTAAGTATGCAGCTGAAGTGAAAAAAATAAGTTTCTAGTGTCCTTAAGTGATACTGCCCAGCCTTCGGAGTGGTAACAATTCGCTCCCTAGACAAGTTGTGAGGGGGTTTGGGTTGGGTGGGGTTTTTTTTAGGGTTTTTTTTTTTGATTAGGTTTGGTTTTAGGTTTTTTGGGGTTTGTTTTGTTTTGGTTTTTTTCCAAAAACTTCTAAAACATTCCAGCAATTGCCTGTAGCAGGAAGGAAGAAAATGAGGATCATTATGACATTAAACTATTTTAAAAAGAAAGATGTGTGACAATTAGCGCATTCCTACCAAGAAAGGAACATAGCAGGCTCTGTGTGTGTAGGAAAGTGAAAAGACCCCCCGCAGAAGCCATGAAAGGTTATGGGAAGCGTATGTGCCTCACGAGGAAGCTCAGCACTGTGACTTTGGCACCAGTGAGAGAAGGGTGCAGGGGAGCTTGTCAATAAGCTCCCAGATAATAAATATTCAGCTATACTGTAGGAAAGCAATGTGGGAGAACAGCAGGCAGCGTCTGTCAGGCCAGCCAGTGGAAAACACATGCTGCAAAGGTACAGAAAATCCTTTGAACATAGTTATCTGAGGAATCTGGTGCCTGAGACCATCTAGAGAGTTGCAGGAACTAATTTCAGTCCCTGGGATGTTCCGTGTGTGTCTGGTGGTGTTACAGTAGCGCTTATGCACTGCAATCAGAGATTGTTGTGAGGTAACCACAAAGACAGGAAAAAGAATGAGCACTGTAGCATCCTTGGCTTAATTCAGGAAGGCTGGTGGTGTGGGCAGCCCTGTGAGCATCAGCTGTGCCCCAGTTGCACCACATCCCTGCAGGAGCAGCTGTGCAGGATACAGTGGTGGCAGCCTGCTATCTCTGCTCTGGGATGGATTAGCAGCAGCTCTGTGAGTGTTTCTCTCCAGTAAGTAAATTTGATCTAAGTCCATGCAGGTTCCCAGGTATGATTTGGACCCGTTGCTGTCCAACTTTCGGTCGTGCAAGCACTGCATTCATCACTACAGCCACGGCCTTCTGGCACTGCTCAGCTAGGTCACAGGTTCCCACTGCCCACACACAGCTGTGGACCTCCCACCTCCCCTGACACCACATCTGGCCTGGCCACTTGGAAGTCCAGCCCTGGGAGATGGCTGGCTGTATCCAACACCCTGAGAGAAAAGGCACTGCTTGGTGCTCTGGGGTTTTTGGTACTGGGTGCTTTTTTTCTGCTGGCAAAGCAGCAGGTGTCTGTGGCCAGGGAAGCAGGGAGAGGACCACGTGCTCAGATGGAGCTGTCCTCCACCACAGACAGATTCTGCTCAGAGCACTGGGTGCCCCACACAACTCAGCTGTCACCACCACCCAGCGCCCTAGGGCTGAGGATGTGATGAGAGCTTCCCACCCACTAACCTGATCAGAGAGAGATGCTTGACATGAGATTAATAATTTCAATTAATTGATTTTGGGGTTGGTTATTTGCAGATTTACAGCAATTTACCTTTTAGGACGCTTCTAAACCTGCTGTCAGAGGCAGCATGGAATGTCACTTTGACCAAAATCAGGCATGCTTTTCACCCCTTCCTTGTGGAGGCCAAGCCTTTACGAAGAGGCTAAAGCCACACCAAAATGCACCTCTCCACAAAAACCTAAAATGCTTCAAGCAGGGAGTCTTTCAGTAGAGCTGGGCCTAAAGGACAGTAGAATGGTATATACATCACTGAAAAACTAATTAAAAGCAGGAATCAGAGGGCTAGGGCACACTCTGCCAGCCCTGTGTGGCAATTCAAGATTGAATGGCTTTTTGAAGGAAGTTAGGCTTGGTTTGAATCTCGACTGCATGTTTAGTCTTAGTTAGCAGGGTCAAGAGGGAGGGCTGGTATTGTGTGTAATGTGTGTCACCTAATGTGTGTAAAGTGTGGCATGGGCATGGCTGTAGCCATGAGAAGACCCTTCTTAGTGCAGATGATCACCCCTGGAAAATGCTGCTGGTGTTTCAGGCAGTAGCACCAGTGCTGCAGGGCTGGGTGAGTATTGTAAATGCAGGCGAACCCAGTGGGAAGAAATTATAACGTCTGACTCTGTTCAGAAGGCTGAATGATTTCTTTATTATAACTATACTATAACACATTAATATACTATTTAAAGGAGATACTAAAACTGCATACCTACTTTTTCTAACTACTATATCTAACAACTGGTGACCCTCTCGCTCAAGTCCAGCCACAGGTGGGTTGGATTGGCCATCAGGCTCAAACAATCCTCACCAGAATCCAATCAAACAATCACCCCAGGTAAACAATTCTCCAAACACATTTCAGATGGGAAAAACAAGGAGCAGAAGTAGAAATTCTTTCCTCTGTGCTCCTCTATGAAAAAATCTTGAGAGAGAGAAGAATGTGCTTGCCACAGGTGAGTGTCAGCCCAGCTGATGGAGCTGCACAGAGCTGGGTGGGGCTGCCTGAGGATGGGGCTCAAGCTAAGCCCTGCACAGCCCCTCCTGTGCCCCCCCTTTAGGAGATTTGTGTCAGTTTAACTTCACATTATCAGCACAACTTCCACAGGCACTGAATGCCTAACCCACCAAGGATAAATCAAAGCCTCCCCTTGTATTTAACAGAGATACGACTTAAATACAGTAAGTAAATCAAAGTAATTATTTAAAATTAAAATGATTTAAGAGAGCTAATCTGGGAGAATGGCAGGGTGGTTACAGAAGCGGCTGAGATGCAGGACTTCAGCAGCTATTCCTGACTCTGTCAGGGACTTGCTCTACAACTTCAGGAAAATTACTCAGCCCATCTCTAAGACTGCTGTAATAATGCCTACTTCAAAGGGGTGTTATGAGGTTTAATTCATTAATGCCTGCAAAGCACTTTGAGATCTGTGGATTAAAGGCACTACAGTGCAAAGTTTTATTAGCTACAGGAAAAGCTCTCAGACAAGCATGGCATTAAATGTCTGCAGTTTAAAAAAATAGAAAAAACTCCAAAGAGGAGCAAATTGTGAGTGGTTTGGGTTTGTTCTTTTCTCTGTGAGCAGGTTTCCATTAGTCAGATCTGTGCTTTGCTAAACTGAGGCCGGGAATGGTACAGCTCGGGGTCTGATTTTGTTGTCACTTCTAGCGCTCCCATATTTTTAACACATTTGGCGCTTCTTTTAGGGGCTTCATTTTATCAAAATCCAGCTTTTGTGCATCAAAAGACTATTCAACTTCCCTCTAAGGATATATTTACCCACTGAGTTAAACAAGAAGAAGAAAATAATTTTCCTTTGTATTGACGACTTAAGGGGTTTTTAAATTCAGTTTGTGCATTTACTTTCCCAATGAAAAGTCTATTCCATTTGATTTTAAAGGGCTAAGATTTTCAATACTGGTAATTATGTGGAGTCCAGAGGGATTTTTAATAACAAAATGGGGTATTTTAAATTATCTTTAGTGGTGCTGATCCCCCTACTGTGAGTATAATTGCAAACAGACAAATTGGGATTGACACCCAGAAATGGACTAAATGGAGGATTTTTTTTTTTAGTGACTGCCTTGCTCCCAAGTATTAATTTATTTCTGATGTTAAGTTTCAAGAGCAAACAGCCAAAGGTAGCACGTTGTTTCTGTAGGTCCAGATTTAAATCTTGTCTGATCTTCTCAATCTCTCTGTGCCTGTGCGTCAGAGTCCCACAGGGCAGGGATCAGCAGGATTTCCCCCATCAAAATCAGGCAGCAAAGATGAGGATAGAAGAAAGTTTCTAAAACAATGTGCTAAAGAACATTCTTAAAGCTGTCACCTTATTATCTGAAT